TTTGACACTGTTACTGGGCGAAGGAAGAAGAAAGGGATATGGTGGGGATTTTTTTAAAAGATCAAGGGTAAAATAGTCATTTTACATCCTAGGGACAAAAATGTAATTTTTGAAAATGTTCAAGGGCAAAATAGTCATTTTACATCCTAGGGACATAAATGGAAATTTTGAAATTGTTCAAGGGTAAAATAGTCATTTGCGGACATGGAAGGAATTTTTGAAAATGTCCAAGGGCAAAATAGTCATTTTCGGGACATGGAAGGAATTTTCAAGAATGACCAAGGGTAAAATAGTCATTTAGGGACATACATGGAATTTTAAGAAAAAATTTAAGGGCAAAATAGTAATTTAATGATTTCGAAAATAGTTTTGGAAATAGTTTCGGAAATAGTTTCGGAAATGATTTTGGAAATGATTTTAGAAAAATATATATATATAAAGAGAGAGAGAATGAAAGTAGTGTGTTGTGACGTGTGTGGGTCAGACTGAGCCTGAGGGCTGATGCCCAGAATTAGTTCTGAGACGTTATATATTGACTAGACTGAGCCGGAGGGTTGGTGCCAGAATCAGTTAAATACTATTTTTATTGACCCGAATGAGCCGTGAGGACAGGTGGTCCAGAATCCGGCAAATGTGAATAATTTTTGTTATGTTTGAATAGTACCCGGGGTGGTACAGAGTACGTTAGTATAATAACTATGTCGGAGGATTCTAAATGAGGTCCCAGACTTCACTGATTGGTCGGGTCAGGTAGACTACGAGATCAGGTGGTGAGAAGTCGATGGGGGATGACTGGTGGCGCGCTCGGAGGGGTACTCCAGTATGAGTGATGAAGGGCGCCAGTAATCCTACTCTGTGTGGAGGGTGGTCAGAATGGTACTGCGAGTACCGATCACAATGCACTTTTATGTGGGAGCAGATCAGGAGTTGAGAGATAGTGATGTGACTACTGGACAACAGGGATAGTTCAGTGGGATAGCTTTGAGAGAGCTACTTTTACATGTATAGTATATAAATAAATTATGTTACTATATTTTGAAGTTCCGTTAGTTAACTGAAATTTCAATCTATGTTACAATTACAGTAATATAATGTAAAATAGATGTTGTTCTTTACTTGTTTACTACTTTGCGAAGACATCATTATAGTAGTGATTTCTAGGGTCGTTACGCAGGACAACATAATAGATTATGTTGGATAAGTGAGATTCATGATTATTGTTGACTACAATTCAAACTTGTGAAATAAATTTTTATACCCCTTAACCAAAAATTCATCACTATAACTTAAATACATGAAAGAAATTGTTCAAGAAAAATAAAGTAATTAAAGAAAACAATGGCCTGTATATAGGAGTATAATGAGCATTGGTTATATTGTTTGAGAATATCTACGAATAAGATAAAGATGATTGTTTAAGGTTAAATAAGAATGAGATAAAAAAATCTCTCTTACATTATCTATATTTAGAGTTCCATTTCTTTATCTTTTCTTCCCATTTTTATAAGTGTTTTTCAACGAATTGGTCACACAAAACTTTACGCTCAAATTAGTTAAAATCAACGAAAACAAACAATCTTTTCTTCTCGAATTCATTCTCTTATTTCTTTAATTATGATACAATCCTTGATCTAACTACACAGACTAAACAAATTAATATATTTTTATTGGACAAAATATAATTCAAAATTGAAAAGATTCATCTATTTTTATCACCTGATGATTTCTATAAAATAACAATAATTTGAAATATATTTAAAAAAAAAAAAAAGAAGAAGAGTGAAGTAGATAGGAATAAGTTCAATCGTGAGTAAAGGGAAAAACGGAATGAGTGAACTTGAAAGAAGAATTGGTGATGGTTTGGTATCATTTGGGTGAGTTGGGCCCACATGTCATGGTGTCATATCTACCTTGTCACTTGTTATGACCAAACATATCTAATAAAAACGGGTACGAGGGGGGCCACATAGAACTAAATTTCGTTTCCGAATTGATTGAAAAAAAAAATAGAGAAAAAAACATGAGGTAAATTGAAACAAAACAGAATAGAAAGATTTGGTTAAATATATTTTTAGTCATCAGTATGATTTTATATATATATATATATATATATATATATATATATATAAAGTGTTTTGTTTTTGGTCTTATTAAATTAAATAAAAGCTTACAACTTGATTTTTTTTCCTATTCTTTGTAAAATATATTTTCTTAGTTTATTCTTCAAAATGTAAAGTCATTATTTTTATTTTTTATTGTAAGATAAGTAAATAATATTTTTTTAATAATTTTTGTTTTTTCTTCAATGTGACATGTTAACATTATAGGCTAAATACATATGTCATTGGAATTATCAATAGATATGTTATTCAAGAACAATTAAAAAGTGTCACATAATTATCTACATATATCAAAATATTTTTAATAATATATCTTTGATATATTTTTATCATAAAATTATATTTTTTAATATTTGAGTTTGAGTTAATTAATAATATTTATTATAAAAAATATGAAATATATTAAATAATTCATTTATTTTTTTATAATAATTTTTATATTTATCATATTCTACTAAAATAGTATAATTAAAATTTAATATATTTATATAAATTGAAATTGTAAAGAGAAAATAATTTTATAAAACAACATTTCTCTTATAATTTTTACTATTTTTTTTTCTATAAGAAGTGAAGTCTGCGTTAAAAGTAACATTTTACTTCTCTTCATTAGTCACTTTACTCTTCACTTTCCGTCCAAATCAACATATACTTAACTTCTTACTATGTCATTTATTAATATAGTATTTATATCACCTAAGATAATGTTACCATCATCCTTACATGTAATAGAAGAAAATAATAATAGAAACCATTTTTTTTTCTTTTAGAAATATTCAATGAACACATAAAACTTATAACTCTTGAAATCTGTAATAAAATTGTTGCAATAAAATTTACATTTAGAAAATTGCGTTAGAAATATCAAACCGCGTACACAAGGGATTTTAATTTTTACCCATGTGTCAATTATTTTACCCTTATATTTAATCATGGTACCTCAAACATTTATATCCACAATAATATATACCAAACATTATTTATGATGTTAATTTCATAAAAAGATAGAAAAGTGAAGCAGGGTATATTAATGATATCAAAACGAGTGGACTTTAATATATATAGTTCAAATAAGAAAATAAAGATATTATGCCAATGAAATTGATACTAAATGTTATTTTAATTTCACTCAGAACATAATAGTGTTGCAAGATTATAATATAAACAATGCTACTCATATGTAAGTATATCCATAATAGTATTGGAGACTAATTATTAGAATTAATTAGGACCTAATAATAGTGAAACTTTGTGGTTATACTATGATAATTTTCACCATGTAGATACACTATTGCTTCTGCTCCTCCCTTATTTTTTACACACCTATATTTTTATCGTTGTACTTCAAACATTTACCTCTAGTTAATATACACCAAATATCATTTATGATTTTAACATACGCGTCCGACAAGGTTAAAAAAAGTAAAACATGAAATATCCTAGTGTAATGAGTGAGATTGAAATACTTTTATATAATTGTTTTGTTCAATTTTCAATATTTATAGTAATAAATAACCCTGTAATATTGATTTAAAAATAATTAAAGAGGTTAAAGTAATGTATAAGAGATGTGGATGGAATGTAGAAGAAGTGTTGGTGTAACATTTTTGGAAGAATGAAGAGAAAATAGTTGGAAAATAGGAAAAAGTAAAAAAGAAAATAATGTGAAGCAAGTAGGGCAAGTTGCATTGAATAAGTTGCAGATATTAAAGATGACAGGACCATATTGATTTATTATTATGAAGTATGTACTTAAGATGTAATGGGCCTGGTATGGATTGACCCAATATGTAGCATGCATCTCAAACCCAAAGCGACACTCCTCCATCAGATCAGGAATCTTGACGTCATTAACTGCATGTTTATGTAGTGGACCAACTTAGGTACTAAATTCATTAAGTAAAATGCACGTGATGGTTAGTTTTTTGAACATAAATTCACACCTCACATATCTAAATTTGGGAAATGTCGGAAAGACATCCCTTATACCTAGCTATGGAAATAGTAGAATTCATCCAATAAAAGAGGGTCGTGTACATAATAATTAAACAATACATACATGTATGCGTGTATCTGTAGTAGCAGTAGTAGTAGTCAATTATAGATGGAGACATTTGGTGTAATCTTGAGCATGAATCATCATGTCTCACGTATTCTTTAATCTTTAATGTCATGCTCTAATGCAATTTTGTTTTTTAAAATTGTTTGAAAATAATAATCTGATTTTGATGGCAGGAAAAGCAGATTGGTGGGGGTCATGCTCTAAATCAAAATAGATGCTTGCTCGGCCAGCTAACATCATTAATTCAAGTTCATAAATGAAGAGTGACGTACATGCTGATAATGAAAAAGCAATACGCAGGTCACTAAAAGATTCTACCAAACTTCATAAGTTCCATATATAAATTTCACCTAGCTGCGTACCTCTTATTTTCCAGTATACAGAGAGAGAGAGAGAGAGAGAGAGAGAGAGAGAGAGAGTTAAATATTAACACTAATAATGAGTATATATAGATAGTTACTGTTGATGCTAATGATTGCCATGGTAACCAGAGCACATAGTACATTATGATTAATTAATTAAATATTTCATCTTGTCTTTTCAAATGGACACTCCCCAACATAATGATGGGTGAATCTAACCAAAGTCCTAAAGCTAAATACTATTATCAAGAGGGGTTACTTGTACACACCCAACTCAACGGTTAACACCTAAAGTCTATTATTTTGGACAAGAATATGATGGTTACATAATTATTTTGTGAGAATTATTACTATTAGTAGCATTTAACCTAATAGAATCCTATAGCTATAACGGCTACTCTAACCAACTAACTAGTTCAACTTAGGACACCGCACCACCGTGTATCGATGAGATGATCAGAAGACAGAGGAACCAGTCAAGGGATCATTCACCAAATTAAATATGTTATTCCAGTAATGCTTGTTATTCTCTTCCAGGTTCACGTTGCAGAGGCTTCCTTCCCCGTTTAACATTGCCATGCTTTCTTCATCCGTGCCCAAGTTATCGTTGGACTCATAAATCAACGGTTCATCATTGTTGAGTCCTTCGAGGACGACACCGTTGGAGAGTGTGGGAGGAACAACATTATTATTGCTGTCGTACCCTGTAGTAGTGGCTCTAAATGCTTCCACAGCCGCCATAATATCGTCGTCTTGCAAATGTAACACTGTGCTCTCTTTCATGAACCCACTATCCATGTTTGTGCTCGAGAGAGGAAACATGTTGTTGCTTTCATTGAACAGTACTCCAATGTTGTTGTTGCTGTTGGAGACAGGAAGCATAGTTGGGGTTGTTCCTGGAAAGCACAACGTGGAGGTTGGAGACTCTAAAGTGTCTTCACTGGATAGCATCATGGCGTACATGCTGTGCATCATTTTGGTGTTACTTTCTTTGCTTCCTGCTTGCGGCTTGGACCATGAGCTTTGCCATGCTTTGAGGATGTCGAGGCAGGGTGGTAGAGAAGGTTGCTGCGTAGTGATTTTGTTGAGGACGAGCCTCGCGGGTTGTGTGTTGGAGCAGGATCCAAGGTTGTTCTGGACTTGCAACTTTGACTCTCTCACCAATCTTGCTTCGGCTTCGAGACGAGCACTCTCCCACTGCGCCATGTGGCTGAGGTTGGCTGCGTCCTTTGATTGGCAACCACCGGAACCACCAAGCGCATCGGTTTTGGGCTTGTGTGTGGTGGGGTCTATCCCCATTCTGGTTAGCCTCTTCTTCAGATGTGTGTTCCAGTAGTTCTTTATCTCATTGTCGGTTCTCTTTGGAAGTTGAGCGGCTATAGCTGACCATCTATATGCTCCAAAAATTTTCAGCAAACAACCATTAGCAATGGACTTGATAATAATAGTAATATAGTCTATACATACATATAAAGTACAATAATACTTAGATACAGTTGTAAATAACGTTTTTTTTTTACAGTTCTCCAATATAATCTGTGTAGCATTTAATGGAAAATTTGAATTCTGATAAGAGAACAGCGTGAAATAACATCTATAAAAATTTCATAAATGGCAATGGCATGATGCCGTAGCACTTGCATAACCAAATATAAGAGGATACTAAAATTATTCTATGAAGTTAGCTTTCCTAGCTATGGGTTCATTTATAAGTAATAAAGTGGATATAGCAAGGGTCCTTTGGTTTGTTATTTTGGTTTATGGGTCTATCATCTACCAGTTTTGTGCTAGTGATTTGGTTTGCTCACCTGTTCCCAAGAAGGGCATGGAGTTGAATGATTGTTTGCTCTTCCTGCAAGCTGAACTTTCCTCTTTTAATGTCGGGTCGAAGGTAGTTAGTCCACCTCAGTCTGCAGCTCTTCCCACATCTTTGAAGGCCTAAACATTAGTACGTAAAGGCAAGAAGCTATTAACACACACCCCCATAAAGAAAAGAAGATGAAAGAAAAAGGTTGTATGTTGTAGATGCAATTACCAGCTTTGGAAGGCAAGGCACGCCAGCTTCCGTGGCCAAACTCTTCAATGTAAGCCATGAGCTTTTTGTCTTCCTCGGGAGTCCAAGGGCCTTTCTTCAAGCCCACTTTTTCACAGCATGGTGACCTACCCATTAGTGTGGTGAACCAATAGTGGAACGTTGGAGTTAGCGGTTTTGGAAGGTTTGGTGCAGAGAACAAGAAAGAGAAGAGAAAGGCGACAAACAAAGTAAGGAAGTTCAAGGAGAAGGGTAGGAAAACAAGGTTATATATAGAGGGATAAACATTGCAAGCCACTGTGCAAGTAGTTATGATGCAGTACGTGTATTTGTGAGTGAGGTTCCGTATCTTAATTTTAGACACCTGCGTGGGAAAGGGATAGTCAGGGTAACGAGGCCTAATATATTTTTTCCCATCTTCTTTCAATTCTACTTTTACTTTTATCTTTTCCCATAATTTTTCTTTTATTATTTATAAAATCTTTTACCAAATGTATTCACAACATATACACACATAACACATCCCGTGGACATAATGTATTAGTACGTAGTCATATGTATATCCTTTAATGTTACGTTAACTTATCTTATAAAGTCAAAACTTCTGGCATACATGATTAATATTCTTTATTTAACACAATTTCGTTTTAATCAAATAAGATTTTTTATAATTAAATAAAACTTTTCATAAATATTCAATGCAGTTACATATTTAAGTTCTGAAATTGATATTATTATGCGAAATTTATTCTTAGTATGTTAAGTTTCATTTGTATAAGTTTACTTTAAAAAGGAAAGAAAAAAAAACTTTAGTATTTAGTTCAACAATTGTCAAACTTGTATTTTGTAGCTTCACAATAATTCGGTCTGATTGAATGAAGATAAGACGAAATAACCTCATTGTTTTTATTTTATTCGAACAACCACATTCAAATGTCTCTAATCGTTTATGTTATAATTTTCTAGCTCTAAAGGGATATAAATTATGTATGCTGCATATATATGTAGGTGTACGTAAACATTTCAGGTAGCATATATATAAATGAAATTTAGGTGTGCAAAATATAGGGCAGAACTGGAATCAACAATGATCAAACACTGAAAGTTATGATTTTATCAAATAATGTGTGAACAATTGAATGTTAACGTAAATGAGTATCATTATTTTGTTGTCATTTTGACCTTTCTAAAACACTATTTTCATTTTCATCATTTTAATGAGATTTTATCAGGTTAACACTGCTATTAAATTTAATATAAAAAAATCTTATAAATAAAGATACAAATCAATCATATTTTCTATTTATATATGATTTAACTTTACTATTTTGGTGAGAGACAGAAATTCTTCTAATTACACCTTTCATTTTCATCCAAATACTCTTTCGAAATCCTTCTTGTTGTCAACCACCCTCATCATTTTCATAATCAAGTTGCAGAAGGTGGACGAATAAAAGTAGAAGAAGCTCTACACTTTGCTGCTATCTTAGTTGTTGGGTATATGTTGCATTTGATGGCGGTACTCTTTTTCATTTATACATGAAAATTTTATCAACAATTCATGATGGATATATATAGATTTCAATCTATAATAGATTACTTATGAAAAGCTTTCAATGACGTCAACGTTTCTATCATGTGTTGCTAAAAGTATACATCATCTTATGGGATGACAATTAAACCCGTACCTGTGGAGACTGATCCGTCCTTGTTCTGAGTTTGATGAAAAAAACCCGAGTTGACCGGGGGCGGGGACGAGTTCGGGTTCGGATTTTTCCCGCTTTAAAAAATCGGGGGCGGGGACGATGATGGGTAATGCAATCCCCACCCCGACTTTATATTTAAATTTAAATTTTAAAATATTAATATTTTAAAAGTATTTCCTTTTCTTTTTCTATTACATATAAGGTCATTTTTTTATATTTCACCAAATTTTTTTTCTTCTAATCACTTTTAAATTTTTTTGTCTTTTTTAATCTTTTATATCAATTAATTTATTACATTATTCTTTCTCTTACCTTTCAGTTTTTCACATTTTCTTAACCTCTCCCATCAATTTATTTATTTTTTTCAATCTTTTCAACCAATTTGATGAACATAAAGTTAATTTTTTTATTCTTTATCTTTTTCTAAATATTTTACATAAATCTTAGTAGTAACTAATATTATTTTATTTATAATTTATCTTTATTATGTTTTATTATGTCATATTTTTTTATCTTATTATTCTTATTTATCATATATCAAATTTTATCTTAATAAAATAATTGTATTTTAAAGGATTAAAGGAATTGATAATTTAAATTTTTATTACTTCGAACTAATTGAATAAGAATGAACTTATTAAATATTTCTTTATAAACTATATATTTCATATTTTTAAATGACAACTTATAAATGAATTAATTTATATATATATATATATATATATATATATATATATAATCAAATGTTTGAATACAGTATTATAATAATAATGTTATAAATATTCAAATATTTGAATACAGTGTTATAATAATAATATTATAAATAAAAAATGATTAAATATTTCTTTTACATACATATTTTAATATAAATATAATAAATTAAAATGTATATTTAATTAATAATTATTATAAATTATAAATATGTATTTATATATAGAAAATAGATAGTAAAATTAATTTATTATAAATGTAATTATCTTTTTAAAAATAATATAAATCGGAGACGGGCGGGGACGGGCGGGAACCCGAAACACAACGGGACGGGGATAGGGACTTAATTTCTAACACCGCGTGGGATCGGAAGCGGGGACAAGGATAGTTAAAAAGTTGGGAGGCAAAACCCGCCCCGCCCCACACCTTGTCATCTTGTGATCTAAATATTGACTTTTTTTTATCAATAAAATTACAACTATTATGCTAATCAATCATGTTAAATTTAAATAAAAAGTGAACAAACCCTTTGTTTAAGTTTAATATAAGACAATAGTCTATCCAAATTTTATATTAATGTAAATTTTTATAATTATGATGTTTTACACTGTAAAACTATTTATAAAAAAATTAAGTGTGTAGTACATGTAAATATTATTTATATTTCAAAAAAGGTATTATACGTTAATTAAATTTAATAATGACATATTTAATAGCCACATTTGAAAATAATATATTTAGTAACAAATTACCGATGTTCAACCCTATGTGGATTAACTAACACTTTATAGTTATTAAATTTTATTAACATAAAAATAGAATTACGTGTAGTATATATTTTGATAACCAATTATATTAAGTTTAATACAATTGTAGATGTTTAGTTTATCATAAAAACTACTGTATATCTTAATTACACAGTTTAGTAAGTATGCACTATTAGTGTACTTTATTTGGATTATCAATCAATTTAAAATCATTATAGATAAAGTTATACAAATGTTGATGCATGGATTAATCATTGTCGATTTGATGTAGAATCTAAGAAATTGGAATTCATGACAAAATATACCTTTTTGGAAGATGTTATTATATATATTTGATAAGCAAAAAAATTGATTGAAAAGAGATATAAATAGAATGAGTGAAGCAGAAGATATGCAAAAACAAGACAAGTACAATGATTTTGTTTGCTTCCCATACTAAGGGACATAAGATTACATGTAAGATGCATAAGAAATATTGTATAACAGTGAAGCGAAGATACCTAATACATAATGATTCTGAAATTTCATGATAGCATCCACCAAGAAGAAACCAATCTGTGGACCATATGAGAGCAAAAGAATTTGTAATCACTAATCAAGACCTGTCGCTGCGTTGCATTGCAGAATTTTGCACAGAACATGCAACACATTAGACGTTGAATTTAATTTGGTGGGGTTCCTCTCACTGCACTCTCACAATATTTTCACATTGCTTTTTCCATTCATTTACTACTGTTTGGTAGAGCCCATGAATGTAAGGTTTCTACAGCAAACGTGATTCTGTGTTATATATATTCATATAAACTGACATTACTTTTGTTACAAGGTTTACATATGTAGCACGAAAAATAGATTTTTTCATCTTATCTTCAAGTGTCTTAGCGAATGATGTTATGTTAGGTTTCTTTTTAAAAAAATTATCTCAAACTTTGCTCCTTAAATTCCTCTCTGTCTTTGCTAACTTACCAAAACTTCATATTTTCAATAATTCAAGTTCAACTTTGACCAGGTTTTTCTCATAACTATTTTATATTATTTGAAGCTTCATAGAACCTAATTCAAGATTTTGCGTCCAAAACTATATGGAAATTTATTTACTGACTATTGGTTCGCAGTGAAAGTTTAAGATCTGTAAATAAAAAATACAAATAAGAAATATATTTCATTAAAAATGATTAATCAGATTTCTTAATTAAAAATGTGATGCTTACAAGAAAAAGAGAGTATATATATATATATATATATATATATATATATATATATATATATATATATATATATATATATATATATATATATATATATATATATATATATATAACTAGCTTCTCCTCACACGCTTCTATTTGAATAGGATTTCATAATGAGTTGGGTAAGTGTTGTTGGCATTAAATATGTTTTTCTTTTACACAGTTTGGTTAGAAAGTGTACGAAAAGAAAAATCTTCACTGAGAATAATGATTGTTATGAATAAGTAAAATGTTTTCATTCTCAGAAACTATGATATTTGTTATTTACACTTATCATTATTCCATTTCTTAGATATAAGATTAAGGATAATTTTTATTTTTTTTATTAATCTAATGAAATCATGATTAATAAAAGTTTTAAAATAAATAATATTTTAAAAATTAAAATTAAAATAATATTACCATAGTAAACATGACACACTGAATATTCTTGTGACTTAGACGGAATAATAATGTTTGTAAATATTCTCTTAGGATTTTTTTCCCTAGAAAGTATAATATTTTTCCAAATATCTATTTAGATAAATGATTTATTTTGGACTATTTAAAATTTGTTATTTTAAGTTTCAGAATATTTTTATTTACTAGTCAGGAATCTTCATTGTCTAAAATAAAATTTGTTATTTTAAATATGAAAAAAAGAAAAAAATCTTAACATGACAAAAGTGTTCCTTTGTCCAGTATCCTTCACTGCAATGATAA